CCTACGCCCCCCAACACAACCACACCCCCTTACAATTCCCCTTACATCTCCCCCACATCCAACCACACACCCACACCCACCCCCTCCACACCCCACCATACACACACGCACACCCTCTCCCACAATATACAAAACGAAGAACCTATTTTTTTCGTTATTATGCATCCCCCTCTGTATTCACTACACAAACACAAATCATGACAAAAATATTTTTTGTAATAAAATTAAAACATGTTATAGCAGGTGTTTGACTTTTAGTGTATGATTTGATTTTTTTTCTGGTTCTAAGATGGCAACCCCCCTCTCAAAAGGAGTATTTCCAGTGGCAAAGGTCAGAGGTTAGGGGGGTGGGACTTCCAGTCCCAAGATGATGACAAGGGACGAGGCAACTGTCAAGGGGCGGGGCTACCTATGCAGCCCTTGACAGGTCACCAGAGCTTGAGCAGCCCTCCACCCAAAATAATTGTCTGCCCTGTTCTAGACTCAGATATAGTCCATGGATGCACTGGCGAGCACAGTGCTGTTTCACAAAAGGCAGAATCATAACTCTAATGTAATAGAAATGGTGATAATAGAAACCGGATGTACTTAACTGTGCACAAAGGATGTGAAGGGTGTAACGAGGAAGAAGAGAAAGGAATTCATTAGCACGGTATCTACACAATACAAATTTGATTAACAGGATAAAAGTGATCAAAGGTGAATTTACATTGGATAGTGAAGGAACTTCTTAAAAGAAGCTTACAAACCTGTTCATTAGCCATAACAATAGCACTTATCATTTGCATAATGTCTTTCAATTAAGGACCTCAAAACACTTTTCCAATCTTAATTAAACAAGCATCATGCCCATGGGGCAGATCGTAAGTGCTGACAGTGGGGTGGCACAACTCTGCACTGCCAGTACAGTGGAGGGCACAACTCCATGCCGCTGCTGCCGGGTATAGCTGCTGCAGCCCCATGCCCACTGCTGGCACAGAAATTGCACCACTGTGGCCATCCCCACTGCTGCCAGGCCCTTGCTCCAGCTAGGCTGCAGCTCTGTGCCTTGTGCCCCACTGTTGGTACAGAAATCTGGGGCTGGCCTCCCAATGAGTTGTCTATGGGGCAGATTATTATATGTCACTTTAAAAATGGGTAAATGGAGACACAAAGAAATTAAGTGGCTTGTCCAAGTTCACGTGGTGCTTTGGTACAAGAGATCTGATTAACAGAGTTCTGACCCCCAAGCCTTTCTCTGAATGCCAGATTCACTTCTCTCAACTCAACCACTCCACGTTGGGTTTAATTATGCACATAGGGTTTACATTTCAGTCATTCAGGCTGCCGTAAAAATAAACACAAGGAGCTTGATCCAAAGCGAAATGCAGAAACTCCCATTGACTTCACTGGGCTATTGGATCAGGCCCAGGAATCCTTTAAAGCTCAGATGCCTTTTGGTACCTTTCTCTGCACTTACACATTATTTCCCCATTCCTTCTCTCCCTGGTATCTGTGTATCAGACTCGAATGGGTGACTGGTGCCTCCTGAATCTGCGGGGGCACCCACAGATGCCACTGGTGATGGTGAAGGCAGAGCTGGTGAGCTCCCACAGATGCCACTGGTGGCATCAGCAGTGGCCCTGTCGGGGGGGCATGTCAAGCACCCGCAGACACCACCGGCAGTGTCAGCAGTGGGGATGACCCTATCAGTGGGGACATGTGCCCCCGTGTCCTCCCTACCAGTTGCCTGTGTATTAGAGACCATCTAGATGTGCAAATAGGAGAACATCACGCATAACAGCTTGTATATAGAGGGAAATTCTTCCTTGTGCAACTAGTCCTTGGTCTCTCTGGATAAAATGTTTCATCAGGCAGACATCTACCTTGTTTTGGAGTACTTGTGGAGTTTCATAGTTTCTAGGGTCGGAAGGGACCTGAGCAGATCATCTAGTCTGACCCCCTGCCATGGCAGGAAGAGCACTGGGGTCAAATGACCCCAGTAAGGTGGTCATCCAACCTCCTCTTAAAAACCCCCAGGGTGGGAGCCTGCACCACCTCACATGGAAGCTGGTTCCAGACCCTAGCCGCCCTGACCGTGAAGTAGCGCCTCCTG